TGAGAGAGAGAGAGAGAGAGAGAGACAAAGATAGCAAGAGAGCACAAGCAGGGAGGAGAGGGAGAAGCAGACTGCCCCTGAGCAGGGAACTCCTCCTGGGGCTCAGTCCCAGGACCCTGAGATCATGACCCGAACCGAAGGCAGAACCTTCAGAGCCACCCAGGAGCCCCAGTTGAAAGTTTTGTCCTAAGATGCTGATAAGCATGGTAAATTCCCCTTATTTAACACAAAATATAATAATTTTAACATAGTGTTTCACCAGGAAATGAAGTATTTAAACAAAGGCAGAATTCTTCGAGAGTAACAGAGTTAGAATTAGTCCTACATACAAAGTCCCTTTTCTCAGCTGAAGAATCCTTCCTAGAGCACAAATGTGCTGAACCCAAGGGCCGACCCAGTCAGCTCCTACAAGTGTTTCATTTTATTTCTTTTTTTTTTTTTAAGGATTTTATTTATTTATTTGACAGAGAGAGACACAGCAAGAGACGGAACACAAGCAGAGGGAGTAGGAGAGGGAGAAGGAGAGGGAGAAGCAGGCTTCCCACTGAGAGAGAGCCCCGTGCAGTCCCAATCCCAGGACCCTGAGATCATGACCCTGAGCTGAAGGCAGCAACTTAATGACTGAGCCACCCAGGTGTCCCTAGTGTTCCCATTTTATTTATTTATTTTTTAAAGATTTTATTTATTTATTTGACAGACAGAGATCACAAGTAGGCAGAGAGGCAGGCGGCGGGGGTGGGGGGGGGCGGGGGGGTGGAAAGCAGGCTTCCTGCTGAGCAGAGAGCTCGATGTGGAATCCATCCCAGGAACCTGGGATCATGACCTGAGCCAAAGGCAGAGGCTTCAACCCACTGAACCACCCAGGCGCCCCTAGTGTTCTCGTTTTAAATGGAACATTTTAAATGGATGTTCTGGGCCTATCCAAATTCAAACCCTGAGAACTTTGATTCACCTGAAGGTTTTAGGATACTCCTGCTAGTGAGGATCAGTCTTAATGTAAAATATCCTGCAAAATAGTTCCTAATTACTTTGATTTTTGTGTTCTCATCATAATCTTTCTGTTGCTTTCTCTTCGATTTTTAGGATCAATTTTAGCATAAGCAGCGTACATATAATTCTATGGAGAATGGGATCTAAAATCTGGGATATCAACTTACCTGGTAGATGGGAACTCCCTTCCTCCTTATTGACTAATGACCAAAAGTGCTGTTTCCACATGCCTTTTCCTGTTCAAACTAAAACCTTTCTGCATTTTTTTATACTTTTGGCTTAATGTTATTTAAACCAAATAGGAAGAAAATAAATAAAATAGTATCAATTTAAACAAAACCTCCATACATTTTAGCATTGTTACTGACAAGTAACTATAATGCCCCCACTTCTGCCCTCAAAATAGAAAAACAGTGTTTCTTTTGATCATGGGAGTAAGGGATTGGTTACAAGGGAAATGAGCAGGGAATAGATCAGAAATTCTTACAGTTAACATTACAGTTAAAGCATCACTGTAAAAATAGAAAATGTTCATTTGGAGAGTTGTCTTGTAGCCAGGCATTGGAGGAAATGAAAAGAAACAAGGATCCCATCCAGTTTATAGTAAACAGTATTTAAATCTTAAAAAACAAACAAAAACTTCACTATACTATCTATAATTCTAATTTTGTAATATTGAAAAAATTACTGAGAAAAAGAATAAAATCACCCATCCCATCTGCCTCAATATCATACTGTTTTCATTTTTGCATATTTTCCCTGTCTGCTTAAGCCATACTACATACTTGCAGCTGTATTGTGGATATGACTTAGAATTCTGAGGTCAAGGGGAAGGTTTCCACTTAACATTTTATTTTAAACATAATTTCTTGGTTAATGGGCTTTTTGTGCTGAAGATATAAAAATTGGAGGGAATAGGTCTGCCTTTAAGCATGATTATTTTATAATTACACTTCTTTACAGTGGTCACATTGGTCACTTTAAAGTGGTTACAGACTTAGGATTTATGTAATGTTTTTGAAGTTCACAATACTGCATTAATTCTCTCTTCCCACATTCATTCTATTCTGGGCTCATAAGAAAATACACAGTGGAAAACCCGATTCTTTGAGGCGGTACTGGCTGTTGAAAATGTTGGGAATCCTCAAAGAGTGTACACAGCCCCCTTTTGCTTTTCCCTACAGTACTTGGCCTTCCTTGAAGCCTTGAGCATATTGGTAATACCTGGGGCTATAGGGTTGGTTACTCAAGAGCTCTTTTAAAATCCAGATACCTCAGGGTTGGTCACTGTTCACCTTTAATCAGCCTGAAGCAAACCCCTGGTGGATGGTGTGGTCTTCCCATGTGAACCCAGGATCATACCTGCAGTTCACTGCCCAGCCTCTGCTTCTGCAGTCCAGTGTCTGCGGAGAACTCTTGAGCAGTCGAGAGCAATGAAAAAGAAGAAGCAGCAGAAGAACATTTAGTTTACTTATAATATGTTCACTATCAGTGACATACCAGTCAGTCCACCAGGAGAATGGAAGTAGCCTAAAATTAGTCACTCTCCTTTGGTTTCTGAAATTCCTCCTCTGGAGACAGGATTTGCACAGCAGAACACTAGAACTAACAAGAATGTGTGAGTTCATTTGTGAGGTATGCTCTAAATAATTCGTGGATCATACTCGTTAAAGAAACCAAAGTTTGTAGATGAATCAGTGCTGGCTTGATTCAGTGGCCATTTGACTTATTTGCATTCTGAAACATTCCTTTGTAAGTGGGAGGGTTTGGCAGTCACAGCCCACCTTGGAAATTGCTCCTGAGTCAGGTATCAGGCCCTACAGATGTGTATGCCAGTTGTCATCATTTGGCAGTAGGTGAAAAGTCAAGAATTGCTGGGAGGGGGGCACAGAAATACCAAGGTGGGAAAAAAAGAAATGTTGACCATTCTGAGAAAACAAGGTCTGTTTCAGACATGCACTGGTCACTTCCTTCTCATGCAACTCTGATATTTTCTGTCCCCTATATCTTTAAAATGATATCTGATAAAGAGGAAGAAAGTATAATGGATTAAACCATTATAAGAATGTTTAAAGACATGTGGAACCCAATTATTTTTATTGAGACTATAGACTCTTTAATTTAACAATTTATTTTCACAATCTAAAAATGTACAAATACAGAACCCAAGTGGGTATAGAAATGGCATTTGGTTTTGACATAATATGATATCACTAGCTCAGAGTAGCTGAATCAAGATCTTTTTTCAGCATAAAATACTATAAGGTCCAAATGTTCATAAGTGCCTCAGGCTTTGAAATCTAGAAATTGAGAGATGCACCATTAGGGATGAGTGTTTCTGCAGTACAGACCTAAGTAGAGGCAATCTCACATGTGTGAGAAGAAATAATAAGAGTAAAAAAACCTTTAGAAGAATATTTTTAAAACTGCTATAAATAAGAAATGAGTCATCTGTATGCTATGCAAAACTTTTAAGTGGGTAAATTTAGAAATTATTTTTTTCCCTTTGTATTTTGGAAAGAAATGCAGTTAGGTCTGTGAAGTTCAGAAATGTCCCTTTCAGAGCTGGGCAGTGATAAAAATTACTGAATTTTGCATTCTCTAGTGACGGAGATGTTCTCTCTGTCTGTGCTGTCCAGTACAGCAGCCACTAGCCACATGTAGCTGTTGAGCATGTGGAATATGTACTTTGAGGAACTAAATTTTTAATTTTAGTTAATTTAAATTTAATACCCACATGTGCCCAGTGTCTATCATATTGTTAAGGCTTTAAAATGACTTAAACTCAGGGACCCCTGGGTGGCTCAGTCAGTTAAGCATCTGACTTCCATCAGGTCATGATCTCCAGGTCCTAGGATTGGCCCGCATCCGGGCCCACGCTCAGCAGGACTCTGCTTCTCCCTTTTCCTCTACCCTTCCCCTGTTTATTCTCCCTCTCTCAAATAAATAAATAAAATCTTTTAAATGAAGAAATAAGTAAAACGACTTAAAGTCAAATTGCATAGTAGTAGATATGCCTTGCCAGATAGTAAATTCATTAACTAAATATCATTTTTGTATCCAAGATTCTTTGGTTTTTAATTTTTTTTTTAACCTTATACTAAGTAGAGTCATTACCACTCTTGACTTAGCTTATCTTTAAAAAAGAGTATGTCTTGGGGCGCCTGGGTGGCTCAGTGGGTTAAAGCCTCTGCCTTCAGCTCAGGTCATGGTCCCAGAGTCCTGGGATCGAGCCCCACATCGGGCTCTCTGCTTAGCAGGGAGCTTGCTTCCTCCTCTCTCTCTCTCTCTCTGCCGGCCTCTCTGCCTACTTGTGATCTCTGTCAAATAAATAAATAAAGTCTTTAAAAAAAAAAAAAGAGTATGTCTTTGGGTTGCCTGGGTGGGTCAGTCCATTAACCTACCAGTTCTTGGTTTGGCTCAGGTCACGATCTCAGGCTTGTAACCGGCTCTGCCATCAGCAGGAAGTCTGCTTGAGATTCTTTCCCCCTCCCTCTCTTTCTGCCCCTCCCCCCGCCATGCACTTTCTCTCTCAAATAAAATAAATAAAATCTAAAAAGAAAAAGTTAAACAGTATGTCTTTTACTTTAAAAACTTGTAAATCATAAGTCCCAAAGGGCCAGTTTTAGGAGAGAGCAAAATAATGATTGCTGTCTACTCGGAGGGTAAGCTCATCATACTTTTTTTTTTTTTTTTAAACATATAAAACAAATTATGAAGCTGAAATGTTTGGGAGTGCGATGTCTAGAACTTACTTTGAAATGCATTTTAAAAATGGGTTGATGGATGGATAGATGGTAGATGCGTGGTGAAGAAAATAACAGCAAACTAGAAACAATCTAGGGCTGTTCACTGTGCTGTTCTTTCACCTTTTCTGAAAGTTTCATAATAAAATCAGCCTCATGATAAAATGTTGGGAGAAACTTAAACGTAAGCCTATGAAATATTTTAAAGTGTGTGTGTGTGTTGTTGTTTTTTTTCCTCGGATCTATCACTTCTCTGTTAAATAGAGCCAAGGAGCAATAACAGAACGTTTACGGAGTTTTAGTATGCATGATCTAACAGCTATCCAAGGTGATGAGCCTGTGGGACAGAGACCATTCCAACCTCTACAAGAAACGAGAAAGAAAAGTAAATCAGTCTCCGGTGAATCAGCAGGTGCGCTTTGTTTGTTTTGTTTTGTTTGTTTTGACGTATTTTCCTTTCGCAATTGGAATTTTGAGTCCAGGTGGGTACGAAAATAATACATGGTGACTCTCTGAATTTGAGTAGACACGATTCACGCTGGTGTCTGTGAATTTACACTTAACTGGAGTTCTCTTTCTCTCAATTTTCTCTGAATGAAGTTGGGGCTTGCCTTTTGTTGACTCTAAAGATTATCCAACTAAGAAAGGAACAGTAGCCTCTTGGGCCTCCATGAGTTTTTAGATGCCCTCTGCATGGCGGCTCCCACCTCCCCACCGCCAGCACCAGTTCAGACCTGTGATCAGCCGTCTTTCAATTCAAACGGTGTAGTGACATCTAAGGAGTTGTATAGTTAAACACTCTTTACTGTAAATGCCCTGAACAAATAAGGATAATGACTCACAAGATCAAAAGTTTGAAGTGGGTGACAAAGGGGGACTCAGTTTGTAAATAGGATTATTGCAGTGGGGAACATATTGAAATGACATATTCTTGTTCAAGAACTGACTTGTAGGTATTTCTGATATAAATTCGGAGCATGGCAGAGTCAATAAGTTCTAAAACTTCAACAAATTATTCTTATCTTAGAAATATACCCATAAATAAAAAGACATCGCTCCTTAGTCATTTTACCACAATGTAAGAAAGTTGTAGTTCAAGACTCAGCTGAAAATTAAGATCTTAATGACATTTCTTATTTCTATATTGTTAAAGTCCATAAGGTACAAGGCTATCCAGTGTTTTTGTTTTTGTTTTTTTAAGTGGTTTTGTTTTGAGGGAGGCTAAAAATCGTCCTTTATATTGAAAACAATTTGAGAAATACACTAACAGTTCCATCCTATAGAGAAAAACAGTGAACTTACTTCTGAATTCTCTCTAGAGTGAATGACATTAGAAGGTGGGTGACTGCTAGTAATTAAGCATTGGCCATTGATTAAAGTAGTAATATCTTTAAGAATGAGAACCATAGAACTTTGAACCGTTATCCTTAATACATTAACAATGTAAAAGTAGTTTCCAATATATAGGCATTTTCTTAATATACATTTAAAAATTACTGATTTTGATTCTAGGGTCTACTGTATATATTTTGCTTCACTTGGACCAGTTACCTGAGCCCTTTGCCAGCAATTTATTAATAATTATACTTTAGAATTGGCTAAGAATGATATTCTAATATTTAAATGAAAACAAGGTAATAAATATGAAAATCCATAGCTCTTTTGATGATATTCATCTATTAAACTTAAAATGATGTGACAAAACTATTTTAAGATAGTAAGGTCCTATTTAGTTATTCTGTTAAATGTTAAGCCATGAAATTAAAATAACTTAAGATTAGAGAGATATGAAGTAAGTAGTAACAGTACAAAAAAGGGACTTGTCCGGTTATGAAATTATAATTTTAATATGTATTACTTTGCCCAACTTCCAAACTTCCTACAGAATGGTATGTATTCTGAGCTCTTTCTTCCCTAAGGAAGAAATTTAACAAAAACCTTTTCTCTCAAAAATATTTTTAAAACGTAGTAAGGTTCCAGGACAGGAATAGTTGAAGAGAAGATAATTATAGATCATCTGTGTAAACACAGTCCAGATATACGTGGAAGTTTATCGAATGGGGATGATGGCCTTTCAGGTGGGTGGGGGAAAGGCAGATAAATAAGTGGTGTCAGAATAATTGCTAGACTTAGGAGATGGGGTAGGAAATGAAGTTACACCTCTACCTCAAGCCTTTCATTAAAATACCTAAAAGATTAAGACTTAAATGTAAGCCACTGAGCTATAATATAGTGGGACATTCCTGAGTATCTATTTATATACCCTTAGGATATGATGGACTTTTTTTTTTTTTTAATGTATTTATTTGACAGAGAGTGCAGAAGGGAGGAGCGGGAGAGGGAGAAGCAGGCTTCCCACTGAGCAGGGAGCTTAATTCGGGTCTCCATCCCAGTACCCTGGGGTCACGACCTGAGCTGAAGGCAGATGCTTAACTGAGTCACCCTGGCGCTCTAATGTGCCAGACTTCTTAAGCATGGCATCAATACCAGAAGACATAAAAGGAAAAACTTGAAAGTTCATTCTCTATATTAAAAAAATGTATAACATAGAAGGGAAAAATATTCCATGCCATAAAAAAAACAAACTAGAAGAAATATTCTCATCTGATACAGGCAAAGGGCTCAGATTTTAACCATGCAAAGAATTCTTACAAGCCAATTATTGTTAATTCTACCAAAGAATACAGCTGACCAATTACTACATGAAAAAGATACTCAGCCTCACAGTCAAAGAAACAGTAAATTAAAATGGTAATAATAGTAATTTTTGCTCACCAGATTGGCAAAAAGATTTTCTTAATTAGCAGTGTTCTGGGTTGGTAACTATTCTAGTTCTCTATTTCTGTGTAACGAACTACAAACAATGGCCTTAAAAAAAAGTCACAGTCATTTATTTTGCTCCTGAATCTGGGGTCGACTGGGCTCAGGGAGGCAGTTCCTGCTCTTACCGCAGGCACAGGGGACAGCACCTAGTGCTGGAGTCATAATGGCAAAGGCTTCGTCACCCACACATCTGGTGTGATAGCTGGCAAGAGTCACAGCGGATGGCTCAAACAGGTGGGGCCTCTCTCGCCTCTCCTTCTCTACGTCTCTCTACGTGCTCTCTGAGTTTTGGCACTTCCTACCTGGCAGCTAAAAGCTCCCAGAGCCCGTCTTCCAAGAGAAGTAGCAGGAATCAGGCAGCAGCACTTCTGCCTAAGGGCAGTTCTATGAGACAAGTACATACACACATCCTGGAGATCTAAGGGAAGAGGAGGGGCGCCTGGCTGGCTCAGCTAGTGGGAAGTGCGACTTGACTCGATCTTGGGATCGTGAGTTCAAGCCCCATGTTGGATGTGGAGATAACCTTAAAAAAATGCAAAAAAAATCTAAGGGAAGAGGAGAAAAGTGTCAGAATTTATGGTCATGTTTTAAAATCACCACAGTAAGCATGTTGGGAAACAAACACTCTCAAACACTTTTTATGAGGCTTAAGTGGAATGATCCTTTTTGATGACAATCTGGCAATAACTATCAAAATTTATTCCCTTTAACTCAGCAAGAAACTTCTAGGACTATGTCATAAAGAAACAATCAGACAGGTGTTCAAAGTTGTATGTCTAAGAATGTTCATCTCATTGTTTATAGTAATGAAATACTGGAACAAACCAAATACCTAAAATACAAACCAAATACCTTAATACCTGGTTAAGCAGAAGTGTGGTTTATTAGCCATGAAAATTCATACATTCAGTCCATACTTGCTGACATGAAAACATCCAGATCGTGGGGAAATAAACAATAACAATAAAACAAAGTACTGTAGAGATACAATAAATAGATGAAATGCATTAATATATTGGAATTACTTTTCAAATGTGTATGCATAGGAAAGAGTCTGGAAGGGTATTGCTGAAATATCAACAGTGTTCAGTTCTGAGTATGGGACTTCAGTGATTTTTTTTAAAATCAACCTATTTTCAAAACGAGAAAGAACAGTACTCTTCCTTTTTTTTTTTCTTTTTAAAGATTTTACCCATTTATTTGTCAGAGAGAGTGAGCACAGGCAGACAGAGTGACAGGCAGAGGCAGAGGGAGAAGCAGGCTCCCCGCTGAGCAGGGAGCCTGATGTGGGACTCGATCCCAGGACGCCAGGATCATGACCTGAGCGGAAGGCAGCCGCTCAACCAACTGAGCCACCCAGGCGTCCCAGTACTCTTCCTTTTGAAAAATATTTAAGATACTCACTTTTTAAAAAGATTTTATTTATTTATTTGAGAGAGAGACAGCACATGAGCAGGCGGAAAGGCAGAGAGAGAAGCAGATTCCTTGGTGAGCGGGGAGCCTGACATGAGGCTCGATCTCAGGACCCCAGGATCATGACCTGAGCTGAAAGCAGACATTTCACCGACTGAACCACCCAGGCACCCTGATACTCATTTTTTTTATGTCATGAGTTATTTTTTTATTCATTTACTTCCAGAATTCCTCAAGAAAAAAGAGTAATTTTTTCAGTGTGGTAATTGCATCCACATTGCAAAGTCTGTGTACTGGTTCATGTGATCAATACATTTACCTCAGATGCTCTGCTTGTTCCCACAAATATCTGGAAGTTTGAGTCCAATATGAAAACTCATAGTGTCCTGCTCTGAGTGGTTTGAGGTTAAATGGTCAAGAGAAGTCCTACTTTGATGAAGTGATTTAAGTTTGCATGTTGTCACTACAGCACAAATGCTTCTTTGTAAGAAAATGGACACCTTGAACATGGTGTTCACATTCCCTGAAAGAACACCACATTGTAATAAGAGGGAATATTTTTTCTGCAAAGATACTGCTGTGTCCGTATCAGTTAAAAACAGCCCAATATTCAGTTTCAATAGCAGTAAATAAAGAAATAAAACATATTTTTTTTGTTTTGCTTTACGTGCTTTACATATTTATTTACTCCTTAAGATGACTACACAGTTTAAGTATTTCATCTTTATTTTTTTATTTTTTTTTTTTTAAAGATTGTATTCATTTGACAGAGCACCAGCAGGGGCAGAGGTAGAAGCAGACTCCCCACTGAGCAAACAGACACCACTCCCCCTATGTGGGGCTCGATCCCAGGACCCTGGGATCATGATCTGAGCTGAAGGCAGATAGACACTTAGCCAGCTGAGCCACCCAGATGCCCCTAATCTTTATTTTTTAAGTAATTTTTTAAGATTTTAATAATTTACTTAAGAGGGTACGAGCAAGAGAGCACAAACAGGGGGAATAGCAGAGGGAGAAGCAGGGAGCCCGACATGGGGCTTGATTCCAGGACCCCAAGATCATGGCCTGAGCAGAAGGCAGAAGCTCAACCAACTGAGCCACCCAGGTGCCCCTTTTTTTAGTTAATTAAACTGAGGCAGAAGGAGATTAAAATACCTGTCAGGAGCTAATAACTACATAGTCAGTGACAGAAATGAGGTGTCCAAGGTTCTCTTTCTCATTTATAAAAAGGCTACACTTTGTGGTACAGTTGGGCTGGAACTAGGAATTCAATAATTTGAGCAGGTAACAACCTTAGCACTGCTTTAGTCAAAGATGACAAACAGGTGTCATGCTTGCTCCCTGCTCTAGTGCCCACGGTGGCAGCCGTTGCTGAAGGACTTTGGTACTTTCTTTGGTACTTTCCCTCTCTGGCTCACAGGCCCCCTCAACATAATGCTCCTGACAGCTCAACTGGGTCAGAGTTAGCATTCATCAGCTCTCATCTGTCTCACCACCTTACCGTACAAGAAAGCAAAGGCCTGGAGAGGCCTGGTCTCACCGCTAAAAGGTGGTCAGGTACACCCATCTTCTAACATAGGTCTCCTTCCGGGTCAAACTTTCTGTGATTTTGCACTTAGGTTAATATGTAGAACCTGCTTAAAGCAGTGGATTGCTAAGTACTGGATTAATGTTGGCTTTTAGTATTACCATAAGGGGAAGAATCTTAAAATATACCAACTCTCAGATGGAGCTGTGGAAATACCAGCTCAGTTTCCTAAAGTGGAGACAGAGCCCATGGTCATAAAGCCTTGGGTCCCCGGTCACTACTCCTGTGTGCAAAGACCCTGTCCAGTGTAGATCAGTGATGATCAAAAACACTTTGAATGGCACCAGCAGCTTCACTTTGCCCCGGTTTGTCAGTCCCATCAAGCAGTCCACCCCCCCACCGAGTGCCTGCTATAGGATGGCACCCAGATCTGGGCTTCCCTCATAGTCTCGCCTCTCCCCACTGCTCCCAACACTTCTAAATGCTTGGACAACTTTGATTAACATTTCCACCACTCACAGCAGAATGTTCATTCATACTCATTTCCAGGTTTTTAAGTGAAATAGAAGATGCATGTTTTAGTGAAGGTATTTGACTTGACCCCTGTCTTTTTGATGCACGGTTTGGTTGAGTAAATTGCTAAGTTAAACTTGTCAATTCCATCTTCTAATAGAGCCCCAGTTTGGCTACTGTCACTTTCTTTGCTCCTTGGACCCCGTCATTTCTGACCTGCCATACTGCAGTAACCTCCCTGCTTCCAGCTTTCATCCACTTCTGATTCATTCCCCAAAGTGTAAAAAGAATCTTTGAAAGACCCTAGATGTCATCATGTTATCCTTCTGCTTGAAATGCTTTGGTGGCCCCCCCATATCTACTCTCTGATGAGGTCCAAACTCAGTAGCTCCCATTCCATCATGTGCTAGTTGTACGGAATCATGAGCCTTCAGAGGTTAGCCACCACCTCCTACAAGAAGTCCTCTCTCTCTCCCCTAATTCCCCCTGCCCCCAGGCTGAGTTGATTATCTCACTGTGGGCTCCCATTGTACCTCATCCTTATCTTGGATTTATAGCATCTGTTGCAGTAATGCCCATTCAAGTCTGGTTCCCCTATTGGACTGTAAGTTTCTTTGGGTAAAAAATAACAGTTGTGTCTTTTCGATCATTGTTTCCCAATAATTTAGCTCACTGCCCTAGAATTTTTTTTAATATTTGTGGAACAACGAATCAATCCAACAATTTCTCTGAAACCATAATTAGGGAGCTAACGAGATTTGTTACCTGAAATTAGGAAACAAAGAAAGGATAAGCTGTATATACCTCTTTTGAATGAAGGTCCAATTCCTAATCATATTCATAAAGTGAGGGGCAATTAAAATAACAAGGGTCATGTTTGTTGACCTGTAGTCTTATGCTTCATCTGTTACCTTAGAGAACTTTCTGGTCACAGTTGCTTCCTTTCTCTTTCCTTGATTCCTCATTCTGCGTTTTACCTTAGTTTTATTGGGATCAGGAATATTGTGGAAGCAACAGCAATAGAGAAGAATCTAGAAATGGCAACCTAAAAACAATTTTCTATCTTATTTTCCCCAATTATAAAAATAATACTAAAAAAAATTTTTACATCACCTAAAAGCCCACTTTCAGGCACTCTAATGGTTTCATTGTTGTTTTTCCTGTTTCTGTATGTACATTCTTTCCCCAGGTAATACTGTATTATGAGCTTCCTGCCTGGACCACTGACTCAGTCCCTCCCTGGGCCACGCTGGTCTTAACAGCAAGCAGCTGCCCCGCCCCTGCCCCCTCCCCACACCCCACCATGGTCCCCAGCAGGTGCTCTCCCTTCTACCTAGAACACAATTCCCTGGACTGAGTCAGGAGAACAAAGGATCTTGGCCTAAATTATGACTGATTCTACTCCCAAATCCTTCCTAATTTTTAGCCCAGAAGTCTGGCAGCATAAAATTATACTTGTATAATGTACAATTAAAGGTGTGTATCTTATTATGAGACTAAGAAGCTTATTCACAACTCTTCATGGTTTGTTTCATGAGTCTGAAATTATTCGTGGCCTGGGAGAGCCGATTAATAAACGTTTACTATGTCTTCTTTTCACGTGCAAGGAGTCCATCCCTTGGCCCCTCCTGAACCTGGGAAAACTTTTTTCCTCCACCTGAGGATTTAGATATTCATGCGCCTTATCCTTAGTGAAGGAGAATTTGAAACTTAATGGGACCTTGTAACCTAACCTCCCCCTTGTCTTTCTAACTGATTGCTTATATCTTTCTAGCACTTTGCTTGCTATAGAATTGGGCCCCTGTGTTGCTCCATCCAGGCGGTGGCTCTCAAAAATGCAGGCCCTGAGTGGCATCAGCATCACCTGGGGGCTTGTGGGAGACAGAGATTCTCAGCCCCACCCTCCTCCCAGCAGTCTTTGTATTAGCAAGTGCTCCAGATGATTCCGCGTGTGTGCTAATCAGTCTATACTAATAAACTCTACTGAGCTTGAGAACCCAGGCTTCGGATCTCTGAATCCCAGCACGGGAATGCTGTCAGACTTCCTGACAATAACCAGCCTGACTACCTGGATGTTTGCGGATTGGCCAATGTTCAGTCTTCTGGAGCTATGCAGAGCAGCCTGTTAGCATGCCCGCACAGCTTCACGCTGACCTTCCCGAGGCTGGCTGTTTGCTTTGACTAACATCTGTCATCACAGCCCATGGTGTTTCCAATTACTGTAGCCTGTCCAGCTGGGTTGTATCTCAGCAGCTGCGTTGGCTTAACATCTCCATCACCTGCCCCCAGTGAACATCTCGCCCCAGGTTCCAGCCCCTTTGGGGTGTTATTTGACTCCTTACATTTACCCTCCCATTCCCAATCTGGAAGAAAAGTTTTGACACTTGGTGGGCAGGAAACCTTCATTTCTCATGAAAATCAAAGGCACAAATGACAAACTCAGTAAAACACAAGATTGCTTAGATTAGCTCATAAAGAGATCTGTCTCAGCATATACCTGCTTATACTCTCTGAGTTTCGAACAAGGTGTTACCTACTCAAAACTAAATTATTTTGAGTTGTTCTGAAAAGCGCATAGTAAAAATAGGAATGGTCGGGGGAAACTTGTATCAGCTTCATCTAGAATAGTGCGCAGGGCAGAGATTGATGATAAGGGGCAGGGAGCACTTTCCAGATGAGAAAGGGAGGGGAGTGAGGGGGCGACTGCAAACCAGGCAAAGACGTGCACTCGGAGGGACGGACGGAGCGCTGTCCTCTCACCAAAACATGCTGGTTTTGATGACTCATTTAGGTTATGGAATTCCACTGAAGGACGGAGACCAGAAAACCGATGAAGAAGCGGAGGGGCCGTATTCAGATGATGAGATGTTAACGCACAAAGGGCTGCGAAGATCACAAAGCATGAAATCTGTGAAAACCGTGAAAGGCCGCAAAGAGGTTAGTCAGGTACAGAGCTGTCTTCCTAATGATTCCTTTTAAAGGCTTTCCCTGTTGCATTATCACTCAGGATACTAATGATCCATAAAGGAAGAACAGAGGGGGAGATTGGCAGTTACATTTAAAATTCTCTGTTCAGATCGGATACATTAGGATCTCTGGGAATTTACAAAATGCTCACTCCCTATTTCCCCTGTGAGTAGAAAATGGTATTGTCATAGAGCAAGTCCTGTGGTGGTCATGAGCACCCCGTGCCAGCCCTACGCACAGGTGAAGAGAGCAACTAACAAAAATAGCTACCTACTTCTGCTTTGAATCAACCGCGCATGGGAATGAACTAGAAGTTTATCCATAATAATACATCATCTGTGTGTCCAGAAAGTGGAGGAGGAATCCAGTCTGTGGCCTCTGATCATTGTGAACCATTGGCAGACCAGGCAAAGCAGAACTAACAACAGTTAATGTTTTTTTTGGTTATCATTGGTGATAGCCTACAGCATCTACGCAACGTAGTGTCCACTCCATTTTTGAGGACGTCAGCAGGAGGTCTTCTGAAGTGTGTATAGAGTCACACTTCTAGGATAACAGATTCTTCCTATTAGAAAATTCTGTTAAAAAATTATTACTATGATCATGAACTGCTCAGTTCTCCCGAAGTTCAAAAGTCATCATCTGATTTGTAATCATGACACATTTCTCTCTTCAGGTGCGATATGGATCCCTAAAATACAGAGTGAAGAAGAGACCACAGGTGTATTTTTAGTCATCTGCACTTAAAGAATCCCAAGACAAGTTACACTAATACATTGACTTTTTTGCTAACGTTATTCATTCAGGATTTACACATTAAAATAATACTTTAAATTGTGGTGGTGATAGGGTTTATTTTCATCAATTTAAATAGCTTTTATTTCTTTCACCATTACTTCCATATCCTGACTACTAAAGGTAGTTATTTATGTGTATGTATATATATCTCAGAAGTAATAGAAAATTGTGCTATCTGTTTTCAAAGTCCTCAACGACACTGAGTGCCTGGGATGTTAAGATGAAACACAAACCCACAGAATACTTGAAAAGAGTCCTTTTATGGTTTAAGATACATCAGCCTTTGTGCTATTGTATTTGTGTTTACCTCCGTTTATATTCTGTCTATCACATGAGGATAGTAATTAAATAGGCCTCTGATCCAGCAGTGATAGGACAAGGGCATAATGTAAGATACAGCGTGTTTTAAGTATTCTTTAAATTTTTACTTTTTTAGTACTTTCTGGTTTTTCCACCATTGACTGAAAGTTTTCGAAACAAATATTTGAAAGCCAGGTTTCCACATAGCACTTTTATTCCTGACTAGTTTTGCACACTTGAAAATTGTTTACTTATTTGCAACTGTATGTTTAAGTTTTATTGACACTGTCTTTATTTTTATTTGTCATATCCCGACATGTCACATGTATGCCTTGAATTTTGTCATCTCTTTTCCTGTGGGTTTCATTTAAGCTCATTAGATTCTAATAATATGAAACTACAGCTCATTGTTCAACTTGAACTATTTTTAACTATCTAATCCTCTGTAGGTAAGAAACTGTTTTAAACATCAGCCAGTTTTCCATACATCATAGTTGAACTCAGCATGTTCTTGTTAACACTGGTTACATTTTCAGCATTTAGAAATAGTTTTTGTGAAACAGGGTCCTGAAGTTATCCAGCAGTTGGTCCACTCACATGCCTAGCACTGATATGTGCTGCTGATTTATAAATCTATATTGACCAGAATCACTTAAACCTCCCATCTCCTGGCTGATTTCATTTCCTGAAGATAGGTGCCAATGCAAAATGCAGATGTTAATCTTACGTACTAGAAGCTACTAGAATAGATATTAGAAAAATGTTTTTTAATCCAAGAGATTTTGAATTACGGAATGCAGAGGCTTTTTTAGGTGGAATTGATAAACTATGCATTATGAAGTCTCTATTTCTGGTGGTGGTTTTAGTGATCAGTAGTCAGATTCGTACAGTTAATTCAGGTAATTGACTTGACTGTTCTCTTTGTCAAAAAGAAAAAACCAATGAGTGAGATTTGTGAGATCTTTTACTTTTCTACCTTTTTAAGAAATGAAACCAGCTGGCAATGTATATTCAGGACCTCCTCAGAGTGTTGGCAGAGAACAGAATGTTTATTTAAGAGTACCTTAGTTTAATTAATACACTGCTCTTGATACAAGTCTTAAAACATTTTCTGGACTATCTCACATTCTTGATATATAACATCAAGAAAAAATTCGCTCAACTTCTTTTCTCCAAAAGTTTAATTCCATGAATATCTTCATCTGCTTTACCTTGACTAATTTGTAGCCTTTGAGTTTCTAGAAAAATTCTCTAATTTGTGTTCAAAATTGCTAGGAATTCTGATTATAAACTCTTGGAAGAGAGTTTTACATATATTGCCTAGTACCAGACTCAATACAAATGCTACTCCATGTTTGTCTTTCCTGCCCAAAGGCAGTGTCATGTCAAGTTGCCTGACAAGATCATGTAAGTGACTCTACATGAAAACATTACCTGTGTGGGCTGCTCTGCTCCATTTTATCTTTTCTAAGTCAGATCTGAGTATTAAACCAATTCCTTAATTAAAGTAAATTCATAAGTACTGTTCTAAATTGGAGACATTATTTATCCCTCTACACTTCTACAAACAAGACACCACAGGTCGCAAAGGGGTAATGCATGTCCTTTTTCGTCACATCTCCCCACACAGTGCCTCCCCTGATCTGTTTCTATTACAGCCTTAGATGCAGTGGATGTCACTTTGCTATTCCATTATTTCCTTTCTCTCCTTTCCTTACATTTCTGAAATTTTGCTGCTTTTCTCTTGTGTGTGTTTTACCATGCCCTTTCCTTGGAACTTAGTATGAGAAGCTTATAAACCTTTGTCTCTTTTAAAGTGGAACAGATCATTTTTGGTTCTCTGCTTGAGTCCACTGCTTTTAAAAGAGGTAAATTTCTCTCTCGACCACAGTGCCTTGCTTCCCCAACACCACCATTTGGTGAAGGGGCATCAGATGCTGCACAAGCCTATATAAGGCGCTATTATGGTAGCTGTTAAAATTTATGCAGAAATTGTACCCGGTGTTTTATCTTATTATATATTCATTCAACTTGTGCATTAATATTAACTATTTCCCAAGTTGGTTTGGAAGTGACAGTTGATCTGTTCTTTCGTTTACTGTGTTTTTTTCTGGGATAAACAAGCCAGAAGTACGTCTCATTTGTAAGTAATTAATTATGTAAACCCATGTAGGTCCCCCACAAGATTCCCTCCACACAATTCACTATATGTATGTGGATTTGGCTAGAAAGTGGTAACTGCCAGCATTACTGATTATAAATACTTGACTACACAGATTGATGGAACAAAATTATTAAAGTGTTTTCAGGGAATTGAATCCATATGTCACCACCAAAGATTCCTACAGTGTTATAAAATATGTAAATATTCCAAATTTCTGTAAAACACTGGTTAGATAAATATGTCTTCTTTCATTTCCTTTTTTGAAATAACATAGTTTGAGCTTCTGTAATACTTGAACTTTTGTGTTGTTAAAAATAATCCAATGCTATCTTCTATTAAATATCAGTAATTTGTATGTTTAATTGGAGTGAACTGAATTTTTATTTTGATTTTCCTTTGTCAGGAAAATTAAGGAGTTAATATGTATTGACAAGCAACTCCCTACATGTTCCTATAGGCTGATTCATTTCCAAAGCAATTAAGCAATTTTGAGATCATTGTTTCTATGATATGCAGTGTATATTTCTTAGTAAATATCATTTAAGAGTAAAACTTTCTGAAAGAAAAATACAGCTTTTTCTTCTAAATGGTTAAGATTTAATCTTCTAGTAGCATCCTACAGATTGTTGTATATTAACTTTTAAAAAATTGAGCATGAATTAACATTTTCTCCTAACACCTCTTAAATCTGTGTACTTTCATAGTTAAAAGAAAGCAGTTTTGTAATTTTTTAAACTCTTTGTAAAGGCTCTCTTTAGGCCCAGTATGGGGATAACTTTACAAATGTGTTTTTTGAAAACTTTAATATAAAATAAACTCATTTTATTAGTGACAACTTGTATGGTTTTGTGTGTGTCAGAGTACTTATGTTGGGTTCCATAAATTTATATTATTTATCAGGGACTATGTATATAATGTTATGTACATATTACATGTTACATAATAGATAACCTGCACATGCTTAAGATTCTAAATCACAGAGCAAATCATAAAAAAAAATCATATACATTCTGGAATGGTCATAGAATTACAAAAGAAACACTGAATTGTTAAATTTGGTTGTTGGAATGGGAAGATATATTAAAAAAAAAAAATTAGTACAGAAACCCTAGCCATCAATTTGTATTGGTTCGCTGTTTCAGACATAAAATATAACACAAAATTCAGATTTATGTATCCTGGAAATGTTCTGGGGTTCCATCTGTTTTAAAGTCAGACGTCTGTCTGCCTCACATTTAAGCTTTAGAGAGAAATCCTATGTTTAAAAAGGGTTTTTTTGTGTGTGTTACTTCATTATGCTATATAATGTGTTAAAGTATTTCCAAATGGAGTTATGTTTTCATCTTTATTAGGAGGTATATCCTTGTGATGATCCAAAGAAGTTAGAAACTTAAATAAAAATTTAAAAAGACACAATGGATATATGAACAGCAGCATTTTCCCCAGTATTTTATTCCCCCTTTAAGTGGTTCACTGTTCTGAAGAAAGAGATTTATGGAACAAAAATCATGTCTCAGAGACCGATCCATTGTTCATGGAAAACATTCCCCCCTCCCCACCCCTTTTACCTCTCCCATCAATATTCTAGCCTTGAAACACTCCTTGGGGTCTGGGTTTGGTAGTATTCTTTAAATTGCTTTTTATAAGATAAAGCTTTGAAGTGAAATTTTAAAGCACAAGATTGATCATTGGCTATATGTGCAGGATACTAAAAGACTGCTCGGCAGAAGCAGGAAAATCACCAAGTTTAGCCTTAGCTTTTCTGGCAATCCCAGGTTAAAGGCAAAAGAGGAGGAAAAAAGGAAGACATGGTATTTTGGCATTGTGTGCAAATCAGAGTAGCATCCATTTTTTTCATGTAGAAATACTCCTCAAGTACCTGCTGTGTGGAGCAGCACTACCGTGTTTCTGCACAACACCTGGATCCAAGTGGGGTAGCGTAACAATTTAAGGGAAATAATTCTCGCTTTTCAAAAACCAAATGTTTTAATTATTTGAGGATGATTTATGCTGGGATTTCTTGTAGGTTATCAAATAATTTATTTGGTTTCTCTCAGAGCAGGTTTTTGTTTGCTTATTTGTTTGGTTTTTCATCCTTGGTTCCCTTCTTTTCCTTACTTCTTAGATCCAGTACAGTCCTAAACCCTTTTGACTCCGTCCGAAATTACAGGCAGACTGCCTAGAAATCGCCAGTTTAGTTCCAGACCACCGCAGTGAAACAAGTATCCCAATAAAGCAAGGCAAATGAATGTTAGACATAAATTTACCTTCTACTGTAGTCCATTAAATGTGCACCAGCATTATGCCTAAAAAAAAATGCACAGACTTTTATTAAAAAATATTGCTTAAAAATGCTAGTCATTCATCACTGATCACAGATCTCCGTAACAAATATAGTTGGAAGGGTTCGAAATATTGTGATAATCACCAAAATGTAGCACAAAAACACAAAGTTGAGCAAATGCTGTTGGGAAAATGGTGCCCGTAAATGTGTCAATGCAGGCTTACCACAACCTTTAATTTGTCAAAGAAAAAAAAAAAAAAGAATCTGCAAAGCCCAATAAAGTGAAGCACGAT